ATTCTTTCTGACTCAGTTTGAGTGCTTTGAAATTCATCATGCCGAAAGTAATGCTTCATTTGGTGTCAGCAATTTGAATGAAATACCCAAATAGCTCTTACGAAATATGTAAATGACTTTGAATAAAATACATACGGAGTACACAAGCGTGAAAGTTTTCTATAGAAAAACATTTTTTTTTTCAAGAGTATTGCTAACCAAAATATCTAATAGAATAATTTGATGTTCATACTAATAGAGTACGCTTTACAAATACAAATATTTTCGGTGTTTTTGTTTTTATTTTCAAATTGTTTTCTTTGACGAAATGTATGTGTGTGTGTGTAGTTTTTTTCATCGTTTGTTTATTTTTCCAGATCGTTTAAATAACAGGCGTTTAATCTGAGTGCCATAAACACACGAAAATTTCGTGTAACGAAAACAATAATTGGTCATTTATTGAATATTCATCACATTACAAATGAATAAAATATCTGCACGCGTGTGTGATATGAATACGGTATTATAGAAGATTCGTGGTACCAAGGGCGCAGTCTTTGACAAGCTGAATTTATTTTGCTTAGCTAATGAATTGGGCAACCTCATTCTTTTAAAACAAATTTGTGGTTTTTTTTTATTTCTCCAGGCAATGAATAACACTTTTTTTTCTTTCTTGAGAACAAAGAAGCATTCAACAAACAAAACACATATAATTTCGTCATTTGCACACAACAATTTATGTACTTATCACGTCTTCTACTTTAATCATTTGTTCCAAACCAAAAAAAGATACACCGTTTCTTTTTGGACTTGTGAGTGCAGTTGCAAATTAAATATATGTATTAATTTTTTTTTTAAATGAGCATCAAATACCAAATCAAATACATAAATACAAGAAATATTAAATCAGAACAATTGAAATGTAATTTTTATTCGATATCACAATAATTATTGAATCCTTTCTTTACTTGTTGCTTTTAACAAATGTCTTTTAGCCACTATGCATTTTGTTCTAGCGAAATTGTTAAAAAAGAAAGAAATTGAAACCCCCGATTGCCATTAATACTGAAAATACTTCCCGTATTTATGCAATGAACATTACACAATTTCAAAATGCAAAGTGATAACCTATACAAAGGCTAAATGGTAAACAACACATACCCTACATGCATGGTATATAGACCAAAATTCATCAGTGTGTTCGATATGACTTAATAAAATCAGAATAGTATAATTATAATTTTACTGACCAAAATATATACTTCAGAATGGATGACATAAGTAATTTTAACAATATGGCTCCGATTGAAATAACAATTTATTAATGCCAATGGTTATTACATTCTCGTACAGTGCGTTTTTTTCTATAATGTGGAAAAATTTAAATGAAACCGACGATGTTGAGATACATTTTTTTATTGATGTTTTATTTGGTCCCTAAGCTACTTCGAGCACAATCAATATTTTATCCATTCTCCTTCTTTGTCGATCACTCGGGCACATCTATTTGGCATACTTTTGCTCAAATTTTCAGCATATTCACGCTGAAAACCTTTCCATTGGCGTTGAATGAATGAACTGAGCTGTTGAATTCGCCGCGCAGATAAAAGCTTTTTGACATCGGTCTGTTTTTGACGTTTGATGTATTTACAAATATGTATGAAGCGACAATAACAAACGAGAAATAGCGAATAAAAAATTATTTTTTCGAATGTTTTCATGAAGACAAAACTCGGGTAATTGTTTTGTTCTTAAAAGGTAAAAAACTTTTGAGAGAATTTCGGTGTTACTTTCGAATAAAAAATTTGAGTCCGAATACAAATGTCAGACATTAAATCGGTCTCATTTTTCTTCTGTAACTAAAGGTGTCAACCGGACAAATCTTGTCCGTCCGTCTGTTCCGAAAGCCTTAGCAAATTCCCGGACGTCCGATCCGATGTTCGTGCACTTTACATTGGATTTTGGAAGTCCGGTCCAACTGTCCGAAAATGAGAACTATTTCTGTCCGTCTGTGTCCGGTTGACACCTTTATCTGTAACTGTATGCTTTGAAAATGAGACCGACTGCCATTTGTACTCGGACTCAATTTTTTTATTTGCGAATTCACTACCGTCTCCACTAGACAGTTTAAAGTTGTTACGTTAAACCACGTTCAACATTTGCAAAACGAAAGTTAGGTTAAGTTAGTAATATTATATTTATTTTTGCATAGTTTTAATATTTCGGATGCCAAAATAAAAAAAGAAGTTGATAATATAAAAATTCTAAATATTTTATACTTGAAGTTAATAAGTTCTTTTTTAATTTCGTGATAAATGAGATATTCTCATTAGCTGCATTTACACAGTCAAGTATACAAATATCGTAAATCAGGGCAAATATTTGCAAATGTGTACAAATCCAGGGGATGGACACTCAGATTAGGAATCTTCATTTGCTTCGGATTCGTCGAAATAGTGGAAATCGTAGAATTTGGTTTTTAGCATAAAACGGTTCGTGTTTTTTTACTAAAATTGGTTTAACAATTTAATGAAGCAATTTTAATATATTGAAAACATTGGAAATTAAATATTTTTCGTTATAATTTGTATAAAATTTATGAACTAAAATTATTTTAATTGTTGTACGGCTTATGAATATAAATAAGTTCATTTATAAAACTGTCAATGTAGATATAAGTTCATTGATCGTCTTTTGACAGTTTCGAACAACGAACTTATATACGTTTACAAAATATGTAGTCATTGGGAATTTAAATGTTAAATTTGTGTTAATTTTTATTTAATTTTGTTATTTTTTAATTCAAATTTCTCAAAATTACAAAAATATTGAATTTCAATGTTTTAGATTCAAATTAAATGCTATATCGTTGTGTATCTGGTTGTACTCTACAACCAGAATATAAACTAGATCATTGAATTTTTGGGAATCATCGGAATAGTGAGAATTGTAAGAATAGCGAGAATCGTGGATTTGCCGTATATTCTTCATTTGCAAACGGTGTACAACCCCTAGGTACAAATAGTAAAAAACTTGCAAATATCTTTGGAAATACGCAAATTTTTTGCAAATACAGAATATTTGCAAATGCTGATATGCCCCTAGCATCCAATCTTTTCTTGACAGTGGAGCGCGAGATGTCTATTTTAAGACGCCATAGCCCTTCAACGCCTTGATTCAACGACATGCCTGGATTTTCATCGAACAACTATCCGTTTATCTTGCTTTGGCGAGGAGGCTCGGTTTGGCTTCACATTGGGCTGGTCGTTCACATTTTTTTCGCGTTTATACTGCTGGACGAACCCTATTGACTTATGAAGGTATTTTGCGACCTTCACCTGCGACCATTTTGGTCCAAATGGATGCGAATGCAGAAAACTGAATCAAATCGTGAATGAAAATTTTCAGAATTCATGTTTTCGTTGCACAACAAACACTGTACTGATTTGACAGTTGTCGAAACCAAAGCTCGAAATAGCTTAGGGTCCCATTAGGCATCACCAAAATTATTTTTTGAATATTCAAACATTTCGATGCTATTTCGCAGAAAAAAAAACGCACTGTATATATTGTTTTCAATGCTGCACTATCCTTTCTGCAACTTCATGTGTTTTATTGGGTTTTTTGTAAACTTAAATCACGTTATTTAATTTGATGCTGCATCGAAACATTGTTCGCATTTCAATCGCTTCAAAATATAATGAGTTTTTTTTAATACTCTTTTGCATGGTTTTACTATTTGTGTGCTCTCTTTGTTTTCTTTTTCAACTTGTTCAATATTTTCTCTCTTTTCTGTATAACACATTCATGCGCTACAATAAATTCATTTAATTATTTCCCGATATTGCACAAGATCAGTTTTGTTATAACAATTACAACAACAATTACCATTTGCAAAGTTTTTCGCGCGTATAGTATCATTTGAAGTGTGGAGTGGATTTAGCGAATAGCGAGACCTTTAAGTAAATGGGGCTATTACAATAACTTTTCCAATTTTCATTATAATTTTTAATTTGATTAATTCATAAATCTTGAAGACATTTTACCGTTTTCACAATAGATTTGACATTTTTGCCATGTGAACGGCGTTGAATCAACCAATATAACAGCAAAATAACAATCACAATTAATTTTTATTCGTTGATTTTGTATCATTTTGTCGTTCAAACAAATATATTTTGCAAAAATCGCATTCCGTGTTTGCAAAAAATGTGAAAAATATTTGAGCACTGATTATTATTTCGGGTACTGTAATTTTATCGAAATAAGGTTTGTCGTCGCAGTCTTCTGTTTTGGATCAATGCCCAAACTGAATCCATCTTTCGTAAATATGTCGATATAGTGGTATGAAATGACTTTCTATTATCAAATTTGGTTCTTTCAGAGTAAAATGATATTACGTCATTACTAACAAAATTTATCACGTAAATAAAGTTATATAAAAGAATTCCATAAACGAAACTAAACGAGACAACGTAGATCATCTAGTACACAGATACTCTTAAAAGATAGAATCCGCGTCCTTCAAAATTATGCAATTAATTTAGCTATTTTATATTTCGGCACCAAACTTTCAGAATGTGATAGGTTGCATATCGACAGTAACCATTCATAACTGCACAAACAAATAACTGCGCAACAAATGTGAGGAATCTATTAACGAAATTTTAATTTAAAAAAAATGGGCGAATGCAATTATCTTTTGACAGGCTTTTCGTTTTATGATCAATCTTCATCACCAATAATTGTCTGTGTACGGGATTAAAAAGAACAAAGTTATCGCTGGCGATATTTTTCTCTTTACTTTCACGAATATAATTCGAATGCAGAAATTGCAATAACAAATGAATTTTGAAACTGCCAAAGCCAAAGGTTTTATAGATGCCAGTTGATTAAAACACTGATTGTATATGCACGTGGCGATCTGGTCGTGCAGTTACTGTTTTCGAATTAAAAAAGTGCAACTGGCACTTGGTAGCTTTGTATGCGATTAATCGGATAAAATTGAACAAGTTACTTACGATCGTTCTCGTCGCCGTTTCTGCATCGTACTTGTCTTCGACTTTATTGTTCTGTACATTGACATCATGTTGACTATAATAAATCAGCAAAAATGTTAATCGTCTGATGAGAGGTCGTTGCAATGAGTGATTCTAGCACCAACCACTTCTTCTTCTTTTATTATTGCAAATTTTTATTTGTTTCTTTATCGCACTTTTTATGCAGGTATATTTGCCTGATTTGTTGGCATTTAAACTCGGTTTTTGAATTACTTTATCAAAATGGCACTATAAAAAGTCGTCATAGAATAAATTGTATATTTTTTGTTTGCTTATTTTTCTTTGGCCAGACCATCACTTCACTATCTTTTTCTTTTCACTGTAACATATTTTCTTTTATTTTTCATTTATTAGCTGTTTCTCTATAAAATACACACAAATCTGTGAATGAAAATTCCAAATGGGATAATTATTTTGGGATTGAGACGATGAAAGTTTTCTGCCATGTAAAATCTTCTTGGCGTCGTGTAATGTTTTCTTTTTTTTACTTTGAACCGCTTTGAACTCATGTTCAATGCTAATAAAAAAATTGTTGATAAAACTCAAGTTTTTGATGGAGGATTTACATGATTTTAAAGACCTCTCACTTTGTGTTGGCTTTCGAATAATGAATTTATAATGCAAAAATGAGCAATGTTTTTTTTATTGAGTTTTTATTTTTTGAAGATGAAAAATGGAAATGCAAAATAAAAGTTCATAATTTCTGAAGTGATTATGGCATCGTTGATTTATGATAAACGCATACGGTTTGATCACATACTGAATTTTTGATTAATATATTATTATCGATTTTGTGCTCAATGAGCAAGAGTAAAATTCGACACTCGACCTGAAAGAAATTACGAAAACAGTCGATTTGCATGTTACATTGTATACGTGCACGGTTCCAGCGTTCGATGTTCATGCATTCAATCGAACCAAATTTAAAGAAAAAAAAACATATTTATATGTATATTATTGCCAAAACATACATAACGGGCGCTTGTATATTCATATTTCCGACTACGCCGAGTATTGGCCCAACGTATTTCTACATAATTCAAATTAAAAATAAATAATTTTGCACACATATTTGCTGGGCTATTATGCGATGAATCGCGTAAATAATATACAATTTCTCATATTTAGAAATCATTGAATTTTCAAGTCTAACTAGACCGGAACTCTCTATCTCTGTCATGCAACTACTAATTAAATCGCAAAAATCACGAGAACACGACAATACTCGTCCATTGAAAAACACATCGAAATTCTAAGCCATCGTACATTGTATAGAAGAAGAAATATGCATAAATACAATGCTACAATTTATTGTGCAAAAATAATTGATTCATTAGTTGAATCAATTGAAATATGCGTTGAAATACTTGCGGTGCATAAGCATGAAATGAAATACAGCAACAAAGAAAAGTGAAGTTCTTTCTGCTTTGAAAGTGTTCGAAATTAGGTCTAATTAGACACATAAGTAGAGCACGCGCATTTTCATTGTGATAAATGAGAATCATACTTTAAAACAAGATTGCAATCTTTATTCTGGCAAATAGTGAAAGCACATCGGAAAGTTCGATTCTCATTTGTGATCGTGGTTATCATGTATAAAAAAAACGATTTTCACTCTTTTTGAATGATTTTTTATTTTTGAAATTATGCCTTTTTCACAATTTATCACAAGAATATTGTATGATCGAGCATGCTAAAATAACGATTTTGGTTTCGATCGATTTTGTAATCAAAGTCCACTTTCTATTATCAAAAATCAATTATGAACTTGAATTGTAAGCAAATTTATATAAAAATCAATTTAACGCTTATGCACTTTGCTTTGAATACAATCAATGGGTTTATTGATTTCGGCTGTTTTAGATTCAGTAATGTGATTTTAAATGGCGTAACAACATCGGTAAAGAGCTAAGCGATTTGTCAAAAAAAATTTTTGCATAATTTAAACAATAAGTTAGTTAGCTCTCAACTTAACTTCAATAACATTTAAATTCCAATATTTGCCCGATCGTATATAAAAACAGGTTAGTTTTTTTTTGTTCAAGAGGAAAAATAACTCTTGATTATTAAGCGTAAAATTGCCTGCATTTCTTTCGTAACGAAAGCATTTTTGTAGTGATGTATATAAAGTGTACCAAATTGGTACTGCCAAGTATTGAATGTCTTCATTTATGTCAGTTCAGAAAAAATAAATGCAATAAATATACGACGAAAACCAATAAAGCATAGAGAAACTCCAAATGAAACCAAGTAAAAGAAGAAATCAGAGGTTTTTTATGGATTCTTTTTTTTCTCCTTTGCTCTTCGCATTTGTCGTGTCACACGCTTGTGAGCTTAATTTGTTCGGCGAAAAAACAGAAGCAAATGAATAAAATAAAAAGGAAAACAAACAATTCAACAACAGCAATCATACGGAACATTTGAATTCAGATTCCCATAAATTTCAGGTCATTCGTTTCAAGGAAGTTGAAACGGTCTATAGCAACAATATCAAACGAACTAAACAATGTCATTGTTCGATACTATTTTTCTTCGATGACATTTGGCATGTACACACTCACATAGTTAAAGAGTAATCAGTAGTGTCCAGCAAATGACATCAACAACAAAAATGAAACAATAATAATCATCTATCGAAAAACTGAAACTTTCTGAATGTCTTACAATCTGTAGAAAACAAGTTTTTTTTGCCAGAGGTTTAGCTGTTGATTTTCATGCACAGCGATGTGCTGATATGCAAAAGCCATTAACTTTTATCAAAATTAACTGACGACATATCACATTTTCAAAAGACTCACAAATATAACGTAAACATTAATTTGAGGGCAAAATAAAATGTTATCGAATGCACTATACAACGCTTCTCTTCTCTTTTATTTTATTGATTATGAAAACGAATATCAATATTCATCACATAAAAGAGTATCCACACTTTCGAGACCTTCGACTGGTACCAAGCTGAAGACTTGTTCAACTTATAACAACTTTTCGATTGAATTTTTGTATGCAAATGTCAGTTTGTGTATTTGGATTTGAGTGTGTGCGTGCATGTGTGCGTATCAGCATGTGTGTGCTACCTATATTTATAATATATTGTTTTTAAAATCGAAAAAAACGTTTATTTTTGGTTTAAAACCTCGAGAGATGGTTGTCCAGATCGTCGTTAGTAACTGTGCGAATATATAAACTCGTTTATTATGATGTCACAAATCACAGCTATATATGTTAATAGACTATTGGCATGAAGACATGAGAAGATTTTATTTTTGGTTTTTTTGATAATTCGAATAATGTCACATGATACGTAGAGAATTTATTATCAAAACATTTTCTTTGCGGAATTACAAACAGTTTTCGTATTGATGTGATTTTTCTTTTGTTTTCTCACAATTTTTACGATTTCAATTGAGCACATTTCCTTCAATAAAATATCATATCTTTTGAATCCATTGTTTCACATCTATTCCAACTCTGACATTTTATGGAATCAACATTTCACTCATATAACTCTGAATACGTTGAAATTTTTGAAAATGTTTCACAATTGTCCACAATAGCCGACACTACATTCATATTTTTATGTGTCATCTAGATATCATTTCTTTCTTCTTTTTTTTTTTGATTGACATCCGCATACCGAGCAAATTTTTTGTCAGAATTTAAAGCCCCATTGAAATCACTTTATTATCCTGGGATAATATCACATTTCCATTATTCACACTACACTATTCCCTTTCGTTGTGGGATGGAATTTTTCCTTATTTTCCGTTGTGGAGCGATTATATGACTGGTTGTATGTAATACACAAAACTGTTTTCCAACTTCAACCGTTCACAAACACCTAAACTTGAGGAAATGGTATCATTGGTAATAACATTTTTAACGCCGTGTTCGTATGTTCGATTTTAGACACATACACTAGCGAATTGCAAAATATCGACAAATCGACGCGAAATTCAATTGGTGCGCGCACTCTTTTCGTTCGGCACATACCAAATGAGAGCACCGCACATAAATCGCCAGTAGAAAATATATCGGTTTTTGCTCTTGATTTGTGTGTAATCATTTGGCCACAACGAAACGAAAGGAATGCAATCCAATTCAATTCAATCTACACACCAAAAAAAAAACGAAACAATTGCAGCAAAAACGAACTAATAAAATCCAATTATCGCAATATACACAATTTACTGGGCCTTGTGATGGTGCTATGGTGCGTCTGAATTTCAAAAGTTTGCTGTTGTTGGTTTGTTTTTATTTTTGGTCGGTAATTATCGATTATGAATTATGAGCGAGATTGTACGCATTTCAATCAAACTCACCGACTTCACTCACTGTAGCACTGATGGAAAATAGAATCAATTCCAATAAACGTGTAATGATTGCAATATCAATTATAAATTGGGAAAATTGCAATAAAAACAACTCAATTTTTTTAAAACTAAAACAGTAAAGAGCCATACGAGTAGTAAGTTTAACGGCGGTCACTCACATGCGCACACAAAAAAAACAACGCCACAAATACACGCCAATTATAATTGATATAATGCGACTAATGAAATAAATACGAATCTAGTATAGTACATTCGGTAGACAGACCAGAGACCACGCGCGATTGATATTGATTATTGATTTGAAATGAATGTGATGAAGGCGGTTGGAAATTGAGCGGTCACATTCGTATACAAAGATATACTAACATTCACAGTTACACACAAACAAATATTTGCGTTGAAAATATACTCTTCACGAACATTGAGAAAAGGTTGATCGACCTACCGACTAACACCTTCGACTAACCAATGACTAAAACAATCAAATACGAAAAACGTCAAAAACCAAAATATTTCGTTTAAACTCGGAAAACCATGCGTATGAGCTTTGAGTGTGGATCACACATCTTCGTATCGTCCGAATTTTAATGAGCAAAAGTAAACAGTATGAAACGAATATGGCTTGGTTACCTGATTAATCAGTCTATTGATGTGTTTGTAAGTGTCTGCGATTGTATTTTATTTTATTTTTGAAAAAGAAGCGATCGATGGTATTCGAAATTTCGAGTGGGGTCAAGAGTAAAAAATGTTTTGGGAAAAAGCCCATTACTCGTAGTTAACAAAAAAAATAGTTACTGATTAGCGCATTTATATATTTATATATGTGCTGGATGCCATACGTTCCATAACACATTTGGTTATACATTCGGTATAATGGCAAAGATGAAAATCAACATAATTCAGCAAAGAGAATATGATTAAATTTTTTATCGCCTGTGCTCGTTACTACTTGGAAATTATGATATGTCGCGACGTCTGTATTCATCGGATACTTTTTTTTTCATTCGTCAATCATGTCGTCTGTTTTGAAGATATAAAAACTTTTAGTGCAAAACATACAAACATAATAATCATGTTTCAACAATCGAACTATGAACTGGTTTACAATATTTTATTTAAAAACAATGTGAACCACAAAAAAAAAAACAATTTAAGCAACAAGTGTATTGATAAAATAAAAACTGGTATTCGGGAGAAAAACGGCAAAAAACCTAAAAGAAAAGGGAAAACGATCATCAAAACGGAAAACCGAAATGTAGTAATACTTGCATGTGTTCAGTCGGCATTTACATGAAGACTGGTTTTTTGTTCAGTTTTCGCTTTTGCACATTTTCTTCCATCAATATTTTCGTTTTATTTTGTTCCCTAAAAAGCAACAAAATAAGAGTCAAGTTATGAGATAATTCGCATTCGTTGTCTATATAGACAAATATGCAAGTATGTTCCAATTTTTTTTTTCAACTTTTGAGACAAAGTAAAATACATCTGTGCTACGTGCGTGTGTTCCATGAGGGATATGTGTGTATTAATGCTTGCTTCCGCTCAATCTTTTTGTCTTTCTTTCATTTATAGTAAATGTTTCCTCAATTTGTTTTAGTCCGAAACAAAAGTGAAAGTCATTGCTGACCATTTATTACTAATTGATTACATAAATGTTCACAGTTTTTGTGAAGGAGCACGCAAATGCACGCATGTTTTTACAGCAAATCGAAATACAGCGGCGTAGGAACAACATTCATTTGGAAGGGGAGAATCTTTGAAAATGAAAATCAATGGCAACTTAGAAATCTCTTTATTGCCATTTATTAAGTAAAATACATCTTTATTCTTATAAAATGACACAATTTCATCGAATTTCATCTTAGATAGTTGCTCCCACTCTCGCTTTGGTGCTTTGATTTTACTATATTTGCAGAAAAATTGAATTGATTTATTTCCAAATATTTAATGAATAGATTTTTGCATAAAAAAAATGTGTGGCAACAATACGATGGGTCAAAAGCATAAGAAACAATAACAAACTAACCAGTAAAGATCCCTTCACGAGATGAAAGAGCCAAATATAATATCAATTTTATATCACACAGAACCGTTGAGAAGTTTAAACGAAGATAATTACTTTTATCTTCTATACTTACATAAATGGCCAAAACAAAAAATAACAACATTGAAATGTGTGAAAGCCCTTACTGGTATGCGACGGTGAATTAAAAGAAAATGGACTGACTGTAAAAATTGTGTGGAAATCGGTATGGCATACTGAGTGCATTATGTCTGCCACTTTCAGTATTTGAAATGGCACTATTACGATGGGTGTTTGTATATTTCTTTGTTGCTTTTGTTGTTTGTCGCTGGCACTTTCGTTCGATGGAAAACGGGCGCGATCGATGTAAAATGGCAGTGATTTCAAAACATATTATAAATTCAATCAGATAATGATAGATATTCAATAGAGAAAAACTAATCCAAAGCACTCTAAAAGAGTAAATAAAGGTTCAGTTGGCAATGTGAAAAAAAAGAAGGTAGACCATCATCATTACGGCAAGAATAGAATAGTGGGACGCTCTCATTGAAAGATGTGAACTTTGATAACGAGAAAGATCGTAAAAGTTGAACAACAATGCAAACAGGCTCCAAATCGTGTTTTTCATCATGCAAATGCATATTGATCAAAACGGTTTGATAAATCATATTTAAAATAACGAATTCCTTGTTATTTTCTTCATTTAAAAGGCCGTTACAATAGCTATGAATTGGAACTTTGACTGAGCTAGCCAAAAAAAACCTTTTCAATTCAACTTTTCCTTTCATCGCACGCTCAGTGTATTCGCAATAATAAAAATATGAAATACGCCTAAATATTGTTTACATATATTTCCACTTCAAAAATACATCAGGTTGAATGAAAATAATGTCGCCATGAATCTGTTAATTCTGACAATTTTTCGCATAAGCAATTTATGTAATTATCAACTAAAATGTCGAAGTGCCTTTAATTTAAAATGTTTTGGAGAGTGCGCCGTGTGCAGTCAAAACTCTCACTATCGCATTGGAATGCTAGTAAATGGTAAAACATTCAATTTTCATTTTGAATGAATTGACATTTATTTCCGTTTCATTAGATTGCGTGTGGCAGATATGGACCATTCTCTTGATTGTCTATCAAGATTAGGATCTGATTTTTCAAACATTTTCGCTTGTAAGTTCATCATGATAAGTTGGCGCAATTTGTGGTAGGTAGCTCTTAGCATGCGCACGGCCTCTTACCTCACGTGTGCGCGCTCATATTCTTCGCTTCGCTTGACCATCAATTCAACAAAGATGTACAAATTGTACAAACTACAATACGAGACTGATGATCAGATATAATAATAATAATTATGAGTTCAACGTTAATATTTAGCGTGTTGGTTAACAAGTGTTAACGGCAAAGCGCACTGCATGAATTGAATTGAAACAGTACCAATGACTTGTTTATATTTTGTTAACATACGCGACATAATTATTGTCGTTTTATTCATATCTGACATTAAACCTATCATTAATCGCATTTAACCTAACATTTTGAACGATGTGATTTTCAATACATTTTGTCATGTCAATTTTTTCTTTTTATTGTCTTTGTGTCGTAACACAGTTTATTGTCAGTTGATGTTACCGCTGTTTTGGAAAATAAAAAGATGTCCAGGAATTCATAGGTGTTGACACCCAGAGTTCCGGTGAAATCTAGACACAGTTCCGGAAAAAATCTTTTATATCCAGTGTACTCAGATTAAAAGTGATTACGAAGGGAGGGGAGCGATCAGATTTTTGGTACCTCAGAAAAGTTACTTAGACAGTTCTCGACAGTTTTAATCGAAATTCCAAACATTCATGTCAGATTTATTCGGAAATTACTTTTATGGTTATTTTGTTTGAAAGCATGGTTCAACAACAACTGATGCTCATCATAATGGTTATAAATACTGTTGTTAAAATAACGTGACGCATTCAGCACATTCGTTCAGCCGGTCATTTAGCGAATTTTGAACTGGCAATATGTAATTGATCGTGTTGTGAATTTTTGGTTATTGATTGCCGTTGCGATGCGTGTTGAATGTTCGTAAAAAAAATTTCTTTTGTTTGACTCCTCATCTCTTTCTTGTTTTTTTTCCGGCAGAATTTGATTTTATTGAAGCATAAAAATGCCTTCGTAGAGTATTTCAAATGAAGTTTGTTTCAATTAAAAAAAAAACTATAAGCCCAGTGACCAAGTTCAATAACCATCAATCGATTGGAAATTATTGGGTTAAGTGTTGGAATAACAGTTCATTACGCGGCGAAGAAGAGGAGGAAAAAAATTTATCCAAAACTTGGGTACGCTTCACTCATTTCCTGGTCATTGATACGATATTGAGCAGTATATTACATCGTTCAATATTATCAAATACAAGCAGGGACGAAGTTAATTAAAGAATCAGTAATAACATGGTTTGAATGCGTACAAATGTTACTGTTTACATGAAATTTTGCATCCAATTGGCAAGCGAGAGACGTGTTTATGCATTGTGTGAAACATAAGTTTGATGCACAATAAATGTATCATCAAAAGAAAGTTCAATGTAACATAAAAAAGCCACATTAATGTACCGAAATAAATTTGCAAAATATGAAAGCAATAAACACTTGGCGTTTGCTATGGGGCGAAGATGGGGCCGACATTTCATGAGCATATTATGAAAATGTGATGCAAAAACCTGATTAATTCAGTACCGCTGCCACACTGGTCCAGCTTTTGGGTATATGATAGAATTTGATTGAATTCACATTTGTACATTGAACATGCGTGCAAAGTATGTGAAAGCGATGGGATTGCAGGCTGCCCAGCAGTGTGCTGATGATATTAAGAAGAAGAGAGAGAAAAAAAAATTATGTGGTAATTGTTTTTTGATCTGATATGCCAACACCGATCTCCTGTGTTGTTTTTGTTCACTGCAAACGCACCTAATTGATGGTGTGATAGATGTCGTATTTCATATGGTTGCCAAATCAAAACTTAATTTGCGCTGTATTTAATGCCTCATTCTTTTCGTATCGTTCGTCATTGCATTTTTGTATAATATGCTCGAAGCGGAAATTCGTGAACGCGCGCGCGCTCGCACACGCACATTCACACACACACACACACACATAAGCATTTGCGCTCATTCATCCAAATAATCTTGTTCACTATCGTACACCGTTTGATGGCATTTTGATATTCGTGTATTTTATTGACGCGACCAACCGAAATCAAATGAAAATAAATCGTATAGTTACAACAATGTTCCATTTATTTTCCATAAGATAAGATAAAGAAAATGATACTCGAACACAAGTGAGAATGAAGAGCGAACAGAACATTCATGACCATAATTAAATTAATGCG